ACTTTTGGTTAGGGTTATTCCTCTGGCATCTCTTGATATTCCTCTTCCAAACCACCTGGTCCATCTAAAAGCTCCGGCTCCTTTTCTTATTGAGGAAGCTGGCCGTACATCTTAGGGCCTAGATCACCCCTAACTTTAAGCTTTCTGAATTTATATTCTCTACCTTTGCCCTAATTGATCTCGGATAGGGTCTAGCTAGATTAAGACACTGTGATTGCATCGTCAACGAGGTCAAGCTGGTCCCTCTTCTCGAATCGATTCTTCTGATCATCAACTGATATGTTGGTGTTGACCATTGAGATGGAGCTTTATATAGGTTGAGCTACACCTTGAGGTGGTTGATTAACAAAACTAAATTTACTGAGGAGTTTTAACTAACGAGGGTGTAGATTTTTCAGCTGCTGCTGGTGCTGGTCCTGTCTAACTTGAGACAAATAAATCTCGTCCTAAGCTGGTTCTTTGATTTCGTCAAGGTTGTCACCAGGACTGAACTATATCATGCGAAGATGCTCACCCATCTCCAGGTCAATGACTGCCTCATGCTTCGATCGTATTTACTGAACCAGCTCATCCTTGGAGTTCTTCAGCAATTCAAGTAGAATACCCTGGTTCTGCTGAAGATTTTCAAACTTGAAGTTGTAGAAATATTAGGCATAGCTGTACGCACTATTAAAGAATTCTTGAGGGAGAGCATCCAGGAGGTTCTGAGGATTGTTGAGAGATACGATGATCTTGGAAGTCACACTTTACAGGAGGCCCTCATTCTTCATCTTTTCGTTGGCCTTCATGAACCGAATGACCTGGTTCAACCTGTGCTCGCTTCCATAGAGTAGCAGACTCAAGAGACTGACTTTCTTCTCTTACTCAGGTGGGGCATCCATGTCGTTCACAAATATAATCCAGATGCCCCCAGCTATGTCTGCAGCTAGCTTCACCTTCCATACTTCCTCTTGGTTTTCACCACTGATGTTGTCCTCCAAGTCAAATCCTTTGACTTCATCCCACTCCCAGAAGCTTGGATAAGGTTGAGCAAGGTTGACGTTTTAATTATGTGGCTCTAGCCACTCCTTGTCGAGCTGCAACTACTCTTCACTAGGTTGATGACTTTGCTTTG